ATAATTTATTTTTACATTTAATGTCATGTGAAGATCTGGTCCTCAGGGGTCACATGGGCTTGGGAGGAGCCCCTGAATCCTTTCTTTTACCAGTTCCGCCTATGCGAAGATAAGTCAAAGGTCCTGTTCGACCATGGTGGGCTTCGCTTGGAAGCATGGAAGAAGTGATTCCTCTGTGGTGACCCTCCTCTTTGTAGACTGGACACTGGTTCAAGGCCATCTGGTGGGGTCTCCTTGGCCTCCTTGATCAAGAGGTCAGATGACCCACCACCATTACAGGACATTTTGCGAGATGCTCATAGTCCCTGGGAACTAATCGACCTAGGAGGGAAAGGAGCAAAAAGTGTCTTTTGTGTCCCTCTGACCCAATTAGTATAGATCTCAAGGTATGTCTGTTAAACATCCAAGAAGGTTAGTTCCACCATTCTGGCATTTTTAATTACTATGTGTCCTGCAGATAAATCTTGGGTAATGATCAGTTGGTCTCAAATAAACCTTATCTAGAGATATATTTCTTGATCTGTTATGTATAACTTGTCAGTCTATCTATCTAATTTTTAAGATAGTATGTCTCACTGAATCTGGATGGAGCTAACTGGTTGGCTAGAATGAGTTTTGAAAATCTGTATTTCTCTACCCTTAACCCCAAGATCTGGAGTTACAGATGCAGGGATGTGAACTCAGGTCCTCATGCTCATACCAACTGGCACTTGAGTGACTGAGCATCGTATAATAACTCTTGCAAATCTACAATGAAAAGTTAATTCTGTAGGAAACAGAGGAAACTATTACATATGCTTTTCAACCTCCAGAACAGAACAATCATGCATACTATGTATACAACATGTCTCTCTTACTACAAATTAAAGAAATGCAGGTCAACACCAGTTATGATAACCATTTTAAACATAATTAACTAAAATTGAAAAAAATGTAAAGTGTTTTCAATTAGCAAGTTACCTTTTCAAATTTATTTAATTTTATTATTGTGTGCATGTCAATAATAATGCTAACATTTGGCTTTCTGATGAGAACAAGATAAATTGAACTTGACAAATACTACTGTGTCATTCTCATCATTCTAATTTCAAACAGTGCGCTGTCCCAACTCTCACATTATCTATACACTTGACAGGTTATTCTATGATTTTAGTATGCCTGTAGCCTATGTATGGTATGTTCATGAATGTTATTGTATTGTTAAAATATGTTTAAAATATACTTGGATGCGTAAATAGACTTCCACCAAATTTGACTTTGGAACTCTGATTTGAAGTGACATGGTTTATTAGAGAGGTGATTTCAAGGATTATCAACCTTAAAAAAGAGGAATTATCTAACACAGTTGCATTAATGAGGAGGTGATGTCAGTGAAATATGGTTGTTCCACTGACCACTGTATGGAGCTGTTTCAAAATGTCCAACAGTAGATTTTGCCAACATCAAACTTGCTTATTACTAATAGAGAAATGCATTTGAAATCGGTTCCTTTACTAAAATCTAGTCTATACCACATACAGCAAGGTCCCATGACCCAGAGAAACCCTTTAGGCAGACAGTGTTACAGCCTTGCTGGGAGAAGCTCTCAACTTTCAATGAACAGTGGAGGAATGGATGGAGGGGATGTGAATCAGAAAACTTCATCCTTGATCTTCCATTCGTCCAATCTCAAAATTCATTTTAATTTCTTCTTTAAAGTGATGGTGACTCAAAAATCCCTAAACCAAAGATGATAGCATTGACCATGGGATCAGCATCTGACAGTGGTAGTTGTCTTTGAGGCTACAGTTGATTGGTGTACTCTGCTTTCTAGTATCCAGTCTGGGACACACCCACCCTTATTCAGCATCTGTGGCACTGTGAGTGCCATAATTGTCTGCTCTACAGACTCTTTCAACATTGGCTCTGATTGCTGCAATGACCCAATGTGACTTCATCATCATCTTGGAAACAGAAGAATCACAAGAGACTCTTATTGTTTGCATCAGAAACTTCCTATCTCCATTTGGTAGCAAGCACATGATTTCCTCATGAGATTTGGGGTCAATTAGGCATTTCATCCTGGAAAATCCTTCCTTTGTTCAACATTGTGAAGAGCAAAAATTGACCTGACATGAGTCATGAATTTAGGTTTATTAGGACACTTATGCTCTCTGACAGGAAAGTTACTCCCCATCAGTGGAAACCAATAATTCTAATACTTGAAAAGTCCAAAGTCATGAAAGTTATAAACACAAATTTCCCACATGTTTCCATGGTAATTTTAGTAATAAGAGCAATAGCTACTTCTAGGGACCCATTACCACAAAAATTATTGAGAACTGCTAGTCTACTTAGAAAGACTCAGCTACCTTTGGAATCACTTAAAGATATAGACTGAAAAACACAGCAATTCTACTGGCAATAACTATAATACCAAGGCAGAGGGTAATCTTCACACTCAAAACTAGAAAATGTTGAGTAGAAAAATTGAAAAGCCACTAAAATGGAAGAGACTACATGCTAATGAAGTTAGAGACTCAAGGTGTTAAGTACACATAGCTCAATATGATATGCCAGTTCGTTTCAACTTCTGTAAGATATCAGAAACGTGTTTCCTGGAGATAGAGTAACATATTTAAAAAAAACAAACACAATAAGAAAGAGAGAGAGAGAGAGAGAGAGAGAGAGAGAGAAAGAGACAGAGAAAGGAAACTCAACAAAGTGATAATCAAGCTAATATGTTTATAAATGAACAGAAGATTTGCATAGCTATTTCCCTAAAGAAGACAGTGAGTAAAAAGCACAAGAGGGAATGCTTCGTATCACGAAAAGCTGGGGACGAGCAGATAAAAACACAAAAAGTTTCATTTGAGGGGCTGGGGAGATGGCTCAGTGGCTAAGAGCCACTGGATGAGCTGGCTGCTCATCCAGAAGAGCTGGGATCAGTTCCAAGAACCCACATAGCAGCTAATAACTGTCCTTAGCTGAAATTATAGGGTATCCAATGCTCTCTTCTAGCCTCCACTGGTACCAGACACACAAGTGGTGGTCTTGTATACATTCAGGCAAAACATATATACATATACACTTAAAAATAATAATAAAATCCTTTTTAAAAGGTACATCTGAAGCTAATTGAATAGTTATTATTTTAAAAAGATAAAATTAGCCAATGCTTACTTATATATACAAAATTAAGGATGCTATATGTTCCTCAAAAAAAATGAAAATACAAACAATACATGAATCAGCAGTGCTACTCTGGGGTATTTATCCAAATAGAACAAAATCAACACGTTAAGGATATAACTGCACTCCAACGTGTACTGCAGCACTTTTCATTGTAGCCAAGGTGTACAATCAGTCTTAGAGACTATAGATAATTGAAGATGGAGTGCGTGAATGCATTCACAATACAGTATCATTCAGTCATGAAAAACCAGTGAAGTCTTGTCCTTTTCAGCAGCATAGATGACTAGAGGATGCAGTGCTCTGAAAAAGTCAAAGTAGAAAATACAGTCACCAAACAGAGGCTGTGGAAGAGGCAATAGATGAGATAATGGGGAACTGACCAACAGAGACAAGTCCCAGCTATTTAGGGAGACCAAGTTTTGGTATTCATTTGAATAGTCAGGTGAATATGGTTGACAATACCGCATTGGACATTTCAAGATAGCATAAAACATGACTTAGCTCTCATAGTAATACACAAGTTGTAGATATGTCAGATATTTTGATTTGTGCATTAGAAAGCTGTTATATTTATCAAAACATCACATTTCATTTGATAAACCTGGAAAATTATTATGTGTCACAGACAAAAACAGGAGTAAAAGAAAAAATCATTAATTTACACCAAGCCCAGTGAACATGATTGAAACCACATATACACAAAGGTTCAATTCTCTTTGAGACAATAAAACAGACAAAATGATT